AAATGAATGGATAAAGAAAATGTGGTATATATATACAATGGACTATTATGTGGCCATTAAAAAAGAATAAAAGCCTGTCATTTGCAGCAACACAGATGGAATGGAAAGTCATTATGAGTAGTGAAATAAGACAGGCACAGAAAGACAAATGTTGCAGGTTCTTACTCATACGTGGGAGCTAAAAAAGTGGATCTCATGGAGGTAGAGAGTAGAATGACGGCTACCGAGGCTGGAAGGGAAGGGGGTAGGGAGGATGAAGTTGGTTAATGGTACAAAAATACAGTGAGCTCAAAGGAATAAGTTCCAGTATTTGACAGTACAGTAGAGAAATTATAGTTAATTTATTGTATATTTCAAAACAACTAAAAAGAATTGTAATATTCCCTAAACAAAGGAAAAAATAAATGTTTGTGGTGCTGAGTATCCCAATTACCCTTATTAGATCATTACAAGTATATTTGTGTCAAAATGCCACATGTATCCCCAAAATATGTTTAATAATGATATATCAATAAAAAATACAAAAAAGGAAAATTAGAAATGCATGCTAATGCTACCTAGTATAAACTGATAAGAGCCCCAAGAGGAATAAATACAATATAAAGATAATTCAGATAGTGAGTTACTTCTAAATCTTGTTTTGGAGTTGAGGGGGAAGAGACCATATTGAGTTCTTAAGAAGGGGAAACATTAGAGTTAGGTCTTAAAAATTGGGTAAGCTATGGACAATCAGGTAGAGAGCACTGGGAGGAGGAAAATCATTCCTGGATGATGAAACAATCTAAGGATACTGATGCAGAAAGGCATACCGTGTTTCATTTGGAAATAAGAAAGGTAAAATCTGTTTGAGATGAATTATGGAGAAACTTATTATCATAGAATATGTGAAAGGAGGAAGGGTAAAAAGAGGAAGGCAGAAGACCAAAGCTTGAGGTTTACAGAAATGCTCTTAGGGATAGCAAGAAATAGGGTCAGTTTAAAAGTTAAAGAGTTAGATGTTCAATAAACATTTGTTAGTTGAATAAAAGGAATGGTACATTATTATAGATGTCAAAAACAAAAAATAAGCATAGTGGTTTTACAAAGAGAACATGAAAGCAAGATGACATAATCTTCAAAAACAGTTCGTAAACTAGTTAGGAAGATTGAGAACTATATAACAGTACAATATAATACAAATAAAACATCTAGTATCTCAACAATCTTTGCAGCTATGTATTTAGACATGTCTCTCTGTAGTGTTCCTAGATAATTCTAAATCCATGCAGTTTTTAAATTCAAGACTTTTGACATAATAATAACAAGTGAGTCTGGACACTGTGGCTCACACTTGTGATCCCAGCACTTTGGGAGGCCAAGATCACTTGAGGCCAAGACTAGCCTGGGCAATATAGCAAGACCCTGTCCCTAAAAAAAATTTAAAAATAGCCAGGCTTGGTAGTATGTGCCTGCAGTCCTAGTTATTCAGGAGGCTGAGGCAGGAGAACTACTTGAGGAGTCTGAGGTTACAGTGAGCTATAATTGTGTCAGTGCACTCCAGCCTGGACAAGAGAGACCTGGTCTCAAAAACAACAACAACAACAACAAAAAAGAATATCTTTCATATGATAGTAAAGAAAAGATGTTTGAAATGATTCTGGAGCCAGGTGTGGTGGTTCAAGCTTATAATCCCAGAACTTTGGGAGGCTGAGGCAAGAGGATTACCTGAGTCCAGGGGTTCAACACCAGCCTGGGCAACTTGGTGAGACCTCGTCTCTACAAAAAATAAAAAAATTAGTTGGGTGAGGTGGTGCATGTTTGTAGTTTCAACTACTTGAAAGGCTGAGGCCTTGAAAGGATCGCCTGAGGGCAGCAGGTAGAGGCTGCGGTGGCCGTAAGCATGCCCCTGCACTCCAGCCTGGACGATAGAGTGAGACTCCAACTCAAAATAATAATAATAATAATTCTGGAGGATTTCTCAGATGAATTTTTCTTCTCAGACTGGCAACTTTACTATATTCAGAGTATTTTCAATTTCAAAGCAAGTAAAACCAAACTTGGAAAGTTACTAGGTATCTAGAGAAGCACTTTAAATTCAATCACAATTTATTTATGCTTTATACCTAGAGAAGCAAAAAGTGTGAATTGTATAGTGATGTTATTATAAGTAAAGATTTATTGGTACTACCAAAAGATTGTCAACTATAACTGTGACAATATTATTCCTAAGTCTAAATTAGCTAAAATATTAAAATTTTAGAAAGTAACTCTTTAGAATAGATGTTGAATAAAATGATTTTTCAGGTAAGATTAATAGGTTTGGAAGTCTGACTCTCTGTTCTCTTCTTTTTCTCTCTTGTTATATATATTCTACCCCAGAATTCCACTAAAATATACTTTAAAAGTAAAATTAAAATATGTGTCTAAATGTAAAGGACAAGTTGATTACCATATATTCAATTATAGTACCTTACTCTACTAGGTCTATATTAAGGATAATGACAATATACAAATCTAAAAATATTTCAGAGAACTGTTTTAACTGTTTAAGATATATATCTTCACTTATCTCACTTCTCTTCAGTGAATAGGCAATTATGTCAAATTAAAGCAAGTTCTCCCAGGCAAGTGATGATAAAAATGTGTATATGTATACACCCACACCCCAATATCCACATATCTACACCCCACCACCCATACACTGTGATGATGAATTTTCTGTTCAACCACATCGTCAATCAACAACAGTAGAAACTTCCATGGTTCTTTGCTAATGGGTTAGCATTTGGCTTCTGTTTGTTGATTCAGAGTCAAAGGAAAGGGAGAAGCATTACATTGATATATTTAGCTACCTGATTAGTTGGTCCACTGATACTGATGGGGTCCTAGAACACTCATCTAACGGGGGATGCCTATGGTGCAGGGGGGCCCACCTTCAAAAGATAATTCCATTTTGGGGGAGAAGGGTCCCTCCTTGTATGTCTACATACATTTTGGTCAGCAATATTAAGATATCGTAGAGGCAGAGTGGTGTTTATTTGTATAAATATTTAGAAAATGTTACTTCACCCTATAATATGAATACCATATAGAATCTTTTTTTTTTTTTTTTTGAGTCAGTGGTCTCACTCTGTCACTCCCACTCTGCTGGAGTACAGTGGTATGATCATGGCTTCTGGCAGCCTTAATTTCCTAGGCTCAGGTATTCCTTTTGCCTTAGCCTCGTACTCCAGGCATGCACCACCATGCAAAGCTAATTTTTTAAATTTTTATTTTGGTAGCGATGTCATTCTATATTGCCCAGGCTGGTCTTGAACTCCTGAACTCAAGCAATCCTCCTGCTTCAGCCTCCCACAGTACTGGGACTAGAGGCACGAGCCACTACACCTGGCCTGGACTTCATATTATAGGGTGAAGTGACATTTTCTAAATATTTATATAAATAAACACCACTCCGCCTCTACGATATCTTAATATTGCTGACCAAAATGTATGTAGACATACAAGGAGGGACCCTTCTCCCCCAAAACGGAATTATCTTTTGAAGGTGGGCCCCCTGCAGCATAGGCATCCCCCATTAGGTGAGTGTTCTAGGACCCCATCAGTATCAGTGGACCAACTAGTGCTGTGTGAGAGGTTCCATTTGGCCTCAGTGAAAGTTTTTTGGGGATTCTTTCAACACGTTTGCCCATTTCTTGACAAGTACTTTGCAAGTGGACCGGGCACACCGCACCGTGTTCAGCAGTTTTTGACTAGCAGCAGCAGGACCCCCATGCCTCACCCTCTCTATTTACCTGATCTGGCCCTGAGCAACTTTTTTTTTGCTTCCTTGGATGAAGAAAGTTCTCAAAGGGAAATGTTTTATCAATATGGAAGAAGTACAACAAAAAATGGCAGAAGCACCAAAAGGCATCAAAATTGACAAGGGTATTGTATAAAACATGGAGTACTTTGTAGGTGACTGAAATTTAAACATGCAAGAATAAATTCATAATTCTTAATAAACTCTGTATTAACACTTGTACTCTGGTTAATTTATTTAAAGACAATACTGCTACCCTGACTAGGTGACAGTAAAAAAAATCTTACGTTGTTAGTGCAGTTTTATGTAATAGACTATTATTTACCCACTCATATAAAGTGATTTATTTCATTTAATTAGCTCCCAATGTAGAAGCACAGAAAATGCAACTTGCTTAGTATGAGCTTCTTTTTAAAAAAACCCATTATTTAGTAAGGGCCAAATTTTGAATAACTTAATTTCTAGTAACTATTCTTTCATGCTTAAAAATATACCTGTCATTCAGGATACATTTTTTTTTTTTTTTTTGAGTTGGAGTCTCACTCTGTTGCCCAGGCTAGAGTGCAGTGGCATGCTCACGGCCACCTCAGTGTCAATGTTGACCTTCGGCCTCAGCCTTCCCAGTAGCTAGAACTACAGGCACGCGCTACCACGCCTGGCTAATTTTTGACTTATTGTAGAGACGAGGTCTCACCAAGTTGCCCGGGTTGGTGTCGAACCTGTGGGCTCAGGCAATCCACTCGTCTTGGCCTCCCAAAGTGCTGGGATTACAGAGGACACTTTTTTTTTTATAATCAATATTATTTATTATGATATTGTGGGGTACAGTTAAGGGTTAGGTATACAAATACGTTTCATTCAGGCACCCTTGTTGATAAGAGGTGTTTCCCCATCCCCAGACAGATATTTACTACTGTTAATTCCATATCCCTCGCCCCCCCAACATTTAAAAAAAAAAAAAAAAGTGCCCATAGTCTCAGCTACTCAGGAGGTTGAGATGTAGGACTGCTTGAGTCCAGACGTTTGAGGCTGAACTGTGTATGATCATGCCTGTGACTAGCCACTGCACTACACCTTGGGCATCATAGCAAGACCCCATAAATAAAATAAAATAAAATAATAAAATAAAATAGTCATGTAAACTTTCCATTAACATATGGTTCATCGGATAAGGATTTGAAATTAGGTTTTCAAGTGCAAATTGAGAAAATATACTCACCTTCGATTCGAGGTAGACATTTGCTGATGACATTTTTGTAATTTTGCATATGTAACTAACTAAAGAGATGGCACAAAGAATAAACAGGCTATCGTTAATTAATGCTCGAACAAACACAGTCCATTTCAATTGATTTTCTGGGACATCTCCATGGACTAGCATTGCACAAGTCAAGTTCACAACTAAAAAGAGAAGGCTTGCCAATATAAATCCCAAATGCAGTAGAATTCTGAAAGAAAAAAGTTTATTAGATGTTTATAAAACCAGTAAGAAATTAAATTCTGAATTAGTGTGTTATTTTAGGTATAAGAATTCTTTCAGTTTAAAATGTTTGCAGTTTTGTTAAATACAAATTTAATAATCTCTGAGTTACTTGAGTTATCTTTGCCGATATGAAATTAGTATCTAAACCATTTAAAACTGGCATAAAATTGTAAGCATTAATTTACAAATAATCTTATGTTGACTTAAATTCAGTTCCCGCTACCAGAAATAATAGAGGACTATTTCAAGTAACCCTACATTTTTCATTTTTATAACTATTAAGCTTATTTTCATTGACCTTTCCATTCCAAGAATTACCAAGCTTTTGTAATTCTCCTTATACTTGATATCTAAATTTATATTGAAAATCATATAATATTAACATTAAAAGTTAAGGAAAATATGCTTTAAACAATGTTCAATCTTATGAACTTGTGACTATTTGCAGCAAATACTGCTTTCAAACTTGACTAAAGAAGAACATCATGGCAGTATACGTAGAGTTTCAAGCACCCATTTGTACCTCATCTTCTTATACAGTTGCCTAATTACTATGCATACTGAGTAATTCTGCAAATGAAATGCTTAACTTCTTCCCCCTAAGAAAAATTAAGCCACCTCATAAAAACTCTTCAGATAAGGTGTGGCTATTTGTATCAAGTAGTGGTAAAAACTACCTAAATGAAAGTAATCCCAGTTTTAATACATCTATACTACAAAATTTAATACACATGCTTCAGAAATTTGTCTTGCATCCTAATATTTTCATTTTGGGGCACTTTCAAAAGTAGGAATCATAAAGTGGCTGCCTTTGGACATGGTTTACATGAGGTAAATTGAAGGTAATGTGAAACAAGCAAACTAAACTGTTAAGTGCAAAGTATCAAGATTTTAGTTTGAAAAGATTATATTTTAATACTCTCAGATTAAAAATAAAAACAACAATTATATATTTGAAACCCAAAAAGGACCTTGAAATTATCTATATATTCAGGGAGTTAGAGTAGCTTAGGAAACCAAAGCACAGAGAGGTAAATGAGTTACATAGTCAGCAAGTTAGGGAAAAAATTGGGTACGAAACCCAAGTCTTCTGACTCCACAGCCCAGCACTCTCACTTTTGAGATTAATCAGTTCTGAAGCACTACTATTTCATGGAACATTCTCACCCCAAACAGCATAATCTAACTTTAGCAAAAGTGAGCATTATGAAGTTACATCTGACGTCTGAAATGGGGCAGTGACAGAGCAGCAAAAAAAAAAAAAAAAAGGATATTGGTCAGCAATATGGCTGCAGGGAGAGAGAAATGTGGGCTATTCAATCTACTTCCTTCAAACCAATCTTGATTTTCTACAAAATTCCTAAGGTGCCCTGAACAACCACTCCTTTCTACCTTGAGAAGTCTACTGTAAGGAAATAAGTTAGATCTTTTAGATACTAAGCTTTAATATTAATGAATCAGTGCTTTAGATCTCTTAGACAGAAATTTAGATACTTATAAAACTTACTTGTGTTTGTCAAGTTCAGTGGCACATCTGACTTTACATATGACCTATAAAGAGAGTATAAAAAGAAAGTTTTGAAAACATGTGTAACACAGAATTCTTAAATAGGGTTTGATATTGTTTCAAAGTGATGTTACAAATAATAATAGATAGCAAGTAAAGGTAAAATGTTAACAATTGAACTACAAGGAAGTCAAGGCTAAAGTCTCCAAAGGCTTAAAACAATAAGTCAGTAACTTTCTTTATTATCATCTTAAACTGAAATCATTACCTTAAAAAAACTTAAACAGAATTAATTCAGTTTAAACATTTATTGGACTTTTATTATGAGCCCCACATTGTGCTGGATGGATTGCCACCTATGCCAAACTTCATCGTGTCACTCATGTTTTGCTGTAAAATGCAACTTCTTACTTAAATGTGAATATGACTCTTTTCGAAAGATTATTTTCTTCTATAATGAAGTAGTACAGTAAACAAGGGATTAAAACGTGAACCTAAAGGTAATGAGCAAATATCATGTGTTGTAAACTTTCTCCCTTCAGAAAGCCTTGTGAAAGGCAGTTGCTGAAACACTTGAATAAAGTTAGGCAGGCACATAAGCAGAATTTGAAATAAACATGGTATTGTCTGAGAGCACAGTGGAAAAGCTTTCAAGGTCTTACTGGTGAGGCTGGACTTTACTCTCTAGATAATGAAAAGATATTGAAGATTTTTATATAGGTACTCCAACATACTTATTATAAGATATGGAATTTCACTAGTTGGGCATTAATGCACAGGCTATGACAGAGGAACTAGAGGATAGAAGCAGAGGGACCAGTTACAAGACTACTGAAGTGGGTTATGAACTTTGGGGGCCTGGAAAGAAAGAGGAAAATACATTATAAATAAAATAGTATAGGTACTTGGTAACTTACTGATTTCATTCAAACATTTACTGAGAAACAGTGGTCATGTTTATGCCATGGATTCATAAACATGACCACTGTTTCTGTTTTCAAGGAATTCAGTGTATAGAATGATAGATAAGCCATTTATTTTGAGACATTGTCATAAAATGCAAAAGATGCTATCACAAAATCTAGGAAGAAAGACTAACTGAGTCTAGGAAGGGGTGAGAGGTGTGGGGTGAGGAGAAAGACTATGCAAAGAGTCAGGAAAGACTTCTCAAAAGAGGTCACATTTGAGCCAAGTTATGAAGGGCAAATGGATGTTAGGCAGGTGAATGCTCAGGCCAAGATAGCAGCCTGGGCATCTACCCACATCTACTGCACAGTTATGGGTTGCTTAATGACAGGGATATATTCTGAGAGATGCATTGTTAGATGATTTTGTCATTATGTAGATATCAGAGTATACTTACACAAACCTAGATGTATAGCCTACTACACAGCTAGGCTATATAGTATAACCTATTGTTCCTGGGTGACAAACCTGTACAGTCAGTTACTGTACCAATTGTTGTAGGCAAATGCAACATAGAAAAGGTACAGTAAATCACAGAAACAAAGAAATGAGTCTCACTCATAAGTGGACCCTGAACACCTATCCCATAATACTACAAAAAAGGGATTGGCAGTAGCGGGACACTGCCAGGGGGTTGGTGGGGAACATAACATCAGTAAGAGTGCCTGATCCTAATCCAGGTGAAATGAGGTCCAATGGGAGGCCCAAAACTTCACCTGGACCTAACCACTTATGTATGCAATTCTGACTTATAACCCATAACTTTAAAAAAAAAAGGTACAGTAAAAATATAGTATAAAATATTTAAAAAGGGGCAACCCTCTTAGGTCCCCTCCCACTGTGGGAGCTTATCTGTCTTCTCAATTAATCTTGCTTTCTAAAAGGAAAAAAAATGTATGCCTGTACAGAGCACTTACCATGAATGGGGCTTGCAGGACTGGAAGTTGCTTTGGGTGAGTCTGTGAGTGAGTGTGGAGGCCTAGGACATGACTGTCCACTACTGTAGACTTCATAAACACTTAGGCCATCAAATTTACAAAAAGTATTTTTCCTTCTTCAATAACTTACTGTAACTGTTTTAGTTTATAAGCTTTTAAACTTTTTTTTTGACTCTTTTGTATTAACATAGCTTAAAACACAAACACATTGTACAGCTATACAAAGATATTTTCTTTCTCTATATCATTATTCTATAAGGTTTTTTTTTATTTAAAACTTTTTTACTTAAACTTTTTTTGTTGTTAAAAACTATGACATAAACACACACATTAGCCTAGGTCTACAAAGGGTCAGGGTCATCCATATCCTTCTCTTTCATCTCCACAATTTGTCCCTCTGGAAGGTATTCAGGGGCAATCACATGTATGCAGCTGCCATCTTCTATGGTAATGCCTCTTTCTAAAATACCTCCCAAAGGACTTGCCTGCAGCTGTTTTACAGTTAACTTTTCTTTTAATAAAAAGAAGTGCATGCTAAAATAACAAGCATAGCAAATATATAAACCAGCAACACAGCATGCTATACTTTTATATAGCTGGCAGCACAGAAGGCTTGTTTACACCAGTAACACCATGAACATGTAAGTCACGTGTTATGCTATGACTTTATGATAGCTACGATATCACAAGGTAATAGGAATTTTTCAACTCCATTATAGTCTTATGGGGCCACCATCCTATGTGCAGTCAGTCATTGTCTGAAATGTCCTTATGTGGAACATGAATGTATTTTGGTCACAGTATCACCATCTATCAGAAGCTGAATGTAATGAAGGAGTCTAAAACATTACACTATCAGTCTCTAATACTTATATAATCCTCAGATGAACGTTTTCTTTATTTCCACGATCACAATGGATTATTACCACAGCCTTTTAACTAATTTCTCTGCCTACATTCTTAACTCTGTCCATGTCTTTAAAAGATAATTGTTCATTTGATCACTTTTCTTTTATTCTCACCTCTATATACATAATATATTCTTTATTTTTATTTTTTAAATTGTAGTAAAACATATAGAACATAAAATTTACTATTTTAACCATTTTAAAGTATATGGTTCAATGTCATTAAATGCATTCACGTTGTTCTGCAACTGTCACCAATCATCCATCTCCAGAATCTTCACATCCTCCCAAAGTAAAACTCTGTACCCATTCATTAAACAATAACTCCCCATGCCCTCCTCCCCCAGCCTCTGGCAACCATCTTTTTACTGTCTGTCTTTATGAATTTGACAACTCAAATCACATAAGTAGATTCATACAATATTTGTCCTTTTGTGACTTTCACTTTACATAATGTCTTCAAGGTTCATTCATATTGCAGCATGTGTCAGAATGTCCTTCCTTTTTAAGGCTGAATAATATTTCATTGTATGTAACATCATATACTGTTTATCCAGTCATCTATCAATAGACCCTTACCTTTTGGCCATTGTGAATAATGCTGCTATGAACATTAGTGTTCTATGCTTTGCTTTTTGAGTTGGGGTCTTACTCTGTTGTCTAGACTGGAGATCAGAGGCATGATCGTGGCTCACCAGAGCCTTAACCTCCTGAGCTCAAGTGATACTTCTGCCTCAAGTTACCAAGTAGCTGGGACTATAGGTGCACACCACAATGCCCAGTTCACTTATTTTTGGAGAGAAGAGGTCTCTGTATGTTGCTCAGGTTGGTCTCAACTTCTGGGCTCAAACAGTCCTCTTGCCTTGGTCTCCCAAAGTGCAGGGATTGCAGATATGAGCCACTGCCCTGGCCCTATATATGATTTTTAAAAATCATTTGAGAGTAAGTTGTGTGACATTTCTTTACTCCTAAGTACTTCAATGTATACTTCCTTAAAAAGGAAAATGCCTTAAACAGTTAACCAAGTCGGGTGCAGTGACTCACACTTGTAATGCCAGCACTTGGGAGGCAAGCTGGGCGGACTGTTTGAGCCCAGAAGTTTGAGACCAGCCTGGCCAACATAGCGAGAACTTGTCTCTACAAAAAATAAAAAAATTAGCCTGATGTGGTGGCGCACAACTGTAGTTCCAGCTACTTGAGAGGCTGAGGCAGAAGGATTGCCTGAGCCCAAGAGGATGAGGCTGCAGTAAGCCAAGATTGTGCCACTATACTTGAGCCTGGGCAACAGAGTAAGACTCAGAAAAAAAAAAAAGTTAACCACAATATAGCTACAAAAATCATAAAATTGAACATTTATACAATACTATTATGTAATTTGTAAAATTTATTCATATATTGCCAATCATATCAATAAAATCTTTTATGAAAAAAACCTAGAATTATGTATTACATACAGACTTTATGTATATTTAGCTTCTTTTAATCTTAATTTATTTTGTTTGTCTTCCATGATATTCACAATTTTGAAAAGTACAGATCAGTAATGTTGGAGTGTTTTTTTACAATCAGATTCAGGTTATGCATTTTGGTAGAAATACCACAGAAATGTGGATGCTACATTCTTCTCAATGCATTCATATCAGGAGATATATGATGTCTCATTGTGATGTTAACTTATCAGTTGGTTAAGATGGTATCTACAGGGTTTTCCCACTGTTAAGTTACTATTTTCCCCACTGCTACTAATAAGTATCAGGTGGAGAGATCTTTAGAGACCACATAAATATCTTTTATCCTTCAAACTTCATCCACTAGTTAGTAATTATCTAGTATTAATAATAATATATTATGATGATGATGAGCAACTTCTTTTTAAAAAGCAAATCTGATCAAACAGTTCCAGAAAATGTCTACTCCTTGAATATAGAAAAGGTCTTTTATTATCTTGTTCCACCTTCCCAACCTTGTATCCTTTAATTTACAGCTCTTCAAATAAGTGGTTCAATTCATATCTCCCTGTGCCTTTGTACATTTTTTGTACTTTACCTGGCATATGCTTTTATGGTCATATGACAGATTCTAACTCATCCCTCAAGACTTTATTATAGTACCAGCCTTTATATTGTCAGGTTAAGTGTCTTAGCGAGAGAGAGACCACTTTGTATCTTTGCATTTCTGATCTCACTCTATGGCATTTATTTACATATTTATTTCCCTCTTAAGAAACACCAT